TTTTGGTTTTATTGTAAAAGGCAAGAAAACATGTTAAATGAGAATCTGAAATATTTTCTGGCATACTTCAAGAAAAAAAGATGATTTAGTATTCAAATTTTTTTTATATATAATTTGGTCCTACACTTAATATTTTCTATATTAATTCCAGTAGTTTTACCATAAATCAACATATCAACTATTTGGTTGAAGCTGATATTTTAGAAATTATGGGATGTGTTGAAAAAAAATGCATTGAGTGTGTCACTAGCGACATTAGGAGTTCATACATTTTTTTCAGTTAAAGGGTAACAGAAATATTTTTATTTGATGCAGTGATGCAGTGGCGCAGCAGGTAGTGCTGTCGCCCCACAGCAAGAAGGACACTGGTTCGAGCCTTAGCTGGATCAGTTGGCGTTTCTGTGTGGAGTTTGCATGTTCTCCCTGCGTTCGTGTGGGTTTTCTTTGGGTGCTTTGGTTTCCCCCACTGTCCAAAGACATGTGGTACAGGTAAATTGGATTGGCTAAATTGTCTGTAGTGTATGTGTGTGAATGAGTGTGTATGGATGTTTCCCAGAGATGGGTTGCAGCTGGAAGGGCATCCGCTGTGTAAAAACATATGCTGGATAAGTTGGTGGTTCATTCCGTTGTGGCGACCCAGATTAATAAAGGGACTAAGCCGAAAAGAAAATGAATGAATGAATGATTTCTGAAGGATCATATGACTCTGAAGACTGGAGTAATGAAGTTAAAAATTCATCTTTAAAATCACTGAAATAAATTATTAAATTAAACGATAAACTACTATTGAAGAGTTATTTTATAACAATTATTACATTTGACAATTTTACTATTTGTACTGTATTTTTGATTAAATAAATGCAGCCTTAGTGAGCAGGATAAGCTTATTTTAAAACATTTAAAAATCACAGACCACACACTTTTGACCGTCATTTGGAAAAATCATATTTAGGCTGTCTTATTGTTAAGCTGTGTTATATCTTTAATTATGCAAATGTGCTTTGTAGTGTCAAAACATGTCCAAACTACTCAAACAAATAGACAATTCCCCAGGCCTGAAACTGTACACAAGGAAATGTAATTTTCAAAAGAAATGTATCTTCTGTTTTTTATATCTGTATGATATTTCCACCTAGATAAAAGATATTAGAAGATGTACAAGTCACAACATTGACATGATGACTCACCCATTCCATGTAACTCAGTGGGCGTCAGATAATCGTTCTTGTAATTCATAAACTGACTGTAATAACAAGTAGTATCCTTCTCATCAAGTGATGTGTTTAGTCACCTGGCCACTTAAACCTGTCTTTTATTTAGCGATATAGTAATAGGCATCCAATTGATTTGATTTGGCTCTTGTTCGCTATTCACAACAGGTCATAAGCATTCACATCTTCACTTACTCCCCTTGTGCATCTGCGCGTGTGAATCTTTCTGTGTGTCAATATGTGTGTGTGTGTTTAATTAGAGCGTGCGTTTGTCTGGAAGTGTTTTGTCAAAGGCGAGGGCTGACCAGGCTGCCCTCTCCTTTTGTGAAGCTTAAAGTCGAGTCGTGTTAAATGAGTCTGAAACAAATTAGCAGAAGCACGCAGCACTTATGCCACAGACGGCTCCAGCATTGGGTTTCAAATTAAAACAAAAGGAGCCCTATCTCCTTATCAGCACTAGTTCCCCATGAAATACAATACGGACCGTATCTTCAGGCAAGAACAGACAGAATTAGAAAGAAACCCTTCAGCTGTCCTCCTCTGCGGTCCATCTCTTCCTCTCATCCTCTCCACTGGTGGCTTTTTATGCTGCTTTACGCAGCTGAACTAATGTCGCTTCATTTGCTCCTGTCTTTAAAGTTGATTTGGTAGCATGTCAGGATATCGTCTCATCAGGGCCAAGGCTTTTAACTCAGTGGATGAAGGAGTGGAACGTTTTCTTAAATATGAGGCCATCAGTGAACTTGGCCTGCAGAAATGCTGCCACCTAGTGGAACGGATCAGCTACACTTAAATAATCTGCCGTTATATTTCCATTTATTTAAGGGTTTTCAGTTTGTTCATGGCTGTGAAGTGCAGTATGGGATATTGATCTCTGCTCTGTCGACTTTTGATGTTGAAAATTCAACTCTACAGTCTAATAAAGTAACTCTTATTTTGAAATAATAGAATGTATACTAAATAATATATAGAGAAATAAGTCCGTTATATAACAGAAAATGTGCTGCAAGTTTATTACAAGTTTTTTTTTTGCATAATTTACAACACCAATCCAGACAAAATATCAGTTTAAGCAAATGTAATTTAATAATATAAAAAATATATTTAGAAAAAAATACTTTAGTCGTATCAATGATTTTAAAAACCATAAAAAACCATAAAAAAATCCATAAAAAAACCACAAACTATCTCACAAACACTCTCATATAATATATATATATATATATAAATATATATGAGCAATATCACACTCGTAGCAGTGCGATATGGCTGTATATTGGCACTGGTGGGAGGCGTGCGCTGGCACGAGGCTGCAGACCGAGTCTGTCAGAACCAGACAGAACTGTTGTATAAATATATATATATTTGGGCATCTGTGCTTTAAACTATTAAAAAAAAAAAAAATCACTTTTTGGAAGAAAGATCAAGGTCTCATAATCTATAAGCATAAATAAATATACAGTAGAAAACGAGGATGTAGTGAGGATGCATCGTCTTTCACAGTGCAGTTCCTTTCATAATTTGTTCATCCAGTCACAGCTGAGCTCTGACATGTATAATTGTGGTATGATATGATATGAGGATATATTTATGCAAGTTTCTGATTTGGTATTGGAAATACAGCAATAAAATCAGCAACGTTAAATAGATAGATCACCAGAAAATGAAGATTTTCTAACTGTTTACTGAATGTTAGGAGGCTAACAGGTTAACAGGTCTGAGACAAGGATCAGTAAATGAAGACAATGTCCAGTTTTAGGTGAACTAAACCTTTAAGATATTTTCTAACTGTTCACTGACTGTTAGGTGGCTCCAAACCTTTTTGATTTTCCTTTTTTTCTGTTGAACTCAAAAGAAGATATTTTGAAGAATGTTAAGGACTTATAACCAAAAACTTAATAGGAAACACTAATACTATAGAAGTTAATAGTTGGTCTGCTAATTTACAGATTTTTTTTTTTTACAGTGTGGGATTGAGTTTATTAATCATTCTGTTACAATCTGTCAACGTATGCTTTGTCTGAACAAGGAAATGATTGTGTGGAAAAATCCAGGTGTGTGTGTTGTAATGTTTTTGCATTAGTTTTTTTTTTTTTACTGTAAATTGTTCAGTTGAAATTGCATGATATCCGCTTTCCAACGGCTAGTGGAATTTTTCTGTTTTCACAGTATTTTGCCACTCAACCACTCTTTTGTTTTTAAAAATATTTTAATATTTGTGGTTGGAAGAGTTAAATTATGCAAACTAGTTATTGACTACTGTTTCTGGTTGTGTTGTATTAAAATGTGTGCTGGAATGGGAATTTGAATGGCATGATATCGGGCAAAAGGGATTAAATGTGTTTCTTTGAACATACCGTAAAGCCATTTCTTAAGCTGAAAAAAATGTCACCATGTCTCTCACAGATAAACAGGTGGTTGTGTCTTGGAAAGTGCAAGTAAAGAAAATCTGTTTTATGGTGAACAGATGAAATATGCATTGTGGTTATAACTATAAGTACTAGTATGGCATTAAAACATGCCACAATTATTGATTGACAATGTGATTGTGGTTATTTGGTCTTATCACAATTATTTGAGATAGCTGTGAAGGTATAAATTTCAATGAAAAGATAGTAGGGCTTCACAATATATCGTTTAAGCATTGCAAAATATGCAATGTTGATTCTGAATTTTAGCTGACCAGGAGCCACAGAACATGTGTGGCTTGTAGAGTCACTACTTAGTTTAACTATAATCGAGTAAAAGTTTTTCATTGGCATGTGTTTTTAAGGCCTGTGACTGAGCATTTTAAGAGGGTTTGTGCACAAAAAGTGTTTGGAGGTGTAACAAAGAATAATTGTATTTAATTACAATTATTTTAATTACTCTATTGGTAGATAATTTAGCTTGTTTTAAGGAGAAAAGAAACTCCTCATTTTGACTTCTTTCTTCTGAAGGAGAAAATTTTTTTTTACTTGATCTCTAAGAATTTGTAGATATTTGGACTTGAAATGAGACAAAGAAAAGTAAGAAAAACACTTTTTTGATTGTGAATGTTCCATTTATGTACCTGAATACTGTTAGTCTGCCCAGAAAACCATCTAGTAGAGCAATTTAAAGCATCATGTGGAATTATCACAATATTTATCGCAGAAAAATAAATGATTTTTTCAATGTCGTGTAACCCTAAAAGACAAACAATATTATATTATATTATATTATATTATATTATATTATATTATAATGTTATGTTATATTTTATTTTATTTTATTTTATTTATTTTTTTATATTATATTAAGAAAGCAAAAATATTTTTCTCAAAATCCACAATTTAATATTTTATAATTTTATATTTATATTTTATAATTAGCACAATTTATTTAAAAATATTATATTTACAGTAGATGACTGTCGATTTCAAAGTGCAAACTAAAACTTAAATTATTTCCTGGATCTTTTTTTTTGATTGTTAATAAATTTGAAATATGTTAATATGCAATATATGTTGATAATGTAATCTATATATAATTTGACTTTATTTCAGTTATTCCTTATGATCATTATTATCATTTTAGGAAAGTAAACCTATTAAAGAAAAGCAACATTTTGAAATGATAACTTTGTTTTGCCAAGCTCATACGTGTAAATGTTTAAAATGTTAATAGGAAGTGAGAAATCTTTTTGTATAACCTCTGCATTATATCTACTGGAAGTGTCCCACTGAGTCCTGTTCTAAATCTGTCTGTGTTCTTTTAAAATTGAAGAGCTGACCTTGTTTCTCTTTCCCTGTTTGTGTGTGTGTTTAGAGTTCTGCAGTGTCTCTGGTGTGTGAGGAGCCGGACTGCTGGCTCAGAAGAATCCCTGTGACCTCAAACCCCACAGACTCAAACTGCACCATCTACAGTCAGGGTATGAGACAAAACACTCATGCATCTCTCACATTCACTTGGGCTTTCTTCGAGGTCTGCAATCAGAATTATTAAACCCCCTCAATTATTACCCCAAATTATTTTTCCCCAATTTCTGTTTAATATAAAGAAGATTTCTTCAACACATTTCTAAACATAATAGTTTTAATAACTCATTTCTTATAACTGATTTACTTTATCTTTGCAATGATGACAGTAAATAATATTTTGCTAGATTTTCTTCAAGACACTTCTATACAGCTTAAAGTGACATTTAAAGGCTTAACTAGGTTAGTTAGGTTAACTAGGCAAGTTAGGGTAATTAGGCAAGTTATTGTATAATGATGGTTTGTTCTGTAGACTATTTGAAAAAAATATATAGCTTAAAGGGGCTAATAATTTTGTCTTTAAAATGGTGTTTAAAAAAATAAAAACTGCTTTTATTCTAGCCGAAATAAAACAAATAAGACTTTCTGCAGAGGAGAAAATATTATCAGACATACTGTGAAAGTTTCCTTGCTCTTTTCAACATCATTTGAGAAATATTTAAAAACTAAAAAAAAAAAAAATCAAAGGGGGGCTAATAATTCTGACTTCAACTGTATATTGCGATATAAATACAACTTCACTAGATGATGCTGTTAGTAGTAGCTGATACTATTTGGTAAGAATTTATCATTTTAGATTGATTGGGATGATTCTGTAAGGGCATGCATAAAATATAAAAATATAATAAACAATAAAGAAAGATATGCTTATTAAATAAACAGTGTTTTATTGTTTTCCTGAGGACTGTATTCAGGTATACAGTAATTGAATAATCAAATGTAAAATACTACGGCATAGTCTTCATTTTATAAACAATTCATTAAAATGAATCGTTATAAATTTGTTTCAAAGTTACATATGGTAATAAAGTCACAGACCCCAATTATAATCCAGACCTAATGTTGCGTATACTGGCGATGTGACTATTGTGAATGATCACATTGCAATATTGATGCTAAAACGATACATTGGGCAGTCCTAGTGTAAACACTTTGGTCAACCTTGGTTGTAGTAGTGTGCTTTATAAATAAATATTAATTGATGGACCAAATATAATTAGTTGCATTACCACTAAAAATGAAACCAATTTTAATTCTTAATTTTCACTCATAGTAGTCTTCAAAAGGTTTTCAAAATTCTTAAATTTCACCTCTTAATAATATTGTTTTGGTTTACTCCAGGAGGAGTGTTGTTCTGTAAGCTGACACGGGAGCTGTCCGGTGGAGATGCTCTTCTGGCTTCGCTGTCCAGCTCCAACGGTGATCATTCAGCAGGGACTCAGACCCATGGCGTGCGGGTGAAGGAGGAGCCTGCATACCCTGCCGCTCTGCACTCGGAGATCCAGCTCCTCCCACAACAGGCTGGCATGGCTGCCATCTTAGCCACTGCTGTCGTTAATAGTGAGTCACTGCTTGCTGATAAACACAACATGTCTTCACAGCTACTTGTGGCTTTCGGAGTGTGTTTACATTTTGATGAGCGAGGGTTGGCTGTGTTTATGCATATGTGCGCAAATCATGACATACTGTATGATGTGTAATGGATTTAAACGAATTACTATTTTTGGTTTGTGTCTGAAAGTTCTTCTTTCAAAATGTTTGCTTCCTCAAAAAGTTTGTGTTTTGGATATTGTAAAATTGCACTATATTTTAAATAGAGTTCTTATTCTCATGAACCATGATTATGTAATACACGATTTGCTTTCAAACATGTCATATCAATAGTATGTCATTTTTAGCAAAGTAAATTTTTAAATATCTTGTAAATACAAATTTTATAAATTAACATTTTAAATAAATACTAATTTAAAGTAAGTGAATACATTTTATACAAACTCACAATCACTGCATTAAACAGTTTAGTGTTGTAATTGATGTTAGTTAAACGCAGTGTTGCCAGATTGGTTGTTTTCACCAGAAAGAACAAACATAGAAGTGTTGTCTGATAGATGAGCAGCACCTAATTATGTTCAAAAGAATTTAACACTAAATGGGACGAATGTATACCCCATTTCAAAAGATTGTGGGAGAGAGGGGCCAGTGTTTTGATGTAATCCGGTTATGTTGTGGTGGCTGGTGTTGGCTGCTGTATGGTTAAAAATTATGACAGTTAAAGTAACTAGGTTTATTTTTATTTAAATAAATTAAAATTGAAAAAATATGAATTATTAATATTAATTATTAGATTACTAACATTAATTACTATTACTAATTACTATCATCAATTACCAATATCAACATGTTGTTTGTGCGTTTTGGGCAGCTTTTGGGCTGGAAAAAGTCAGCTATTTTTGGCAACACTGGTTAAAGGATTCATTGTGTATTTGAATTGGGATAAATTGTCTGAAAAAAGTTACTTGTCATGAAATTAAATTATTGCTATAATTATATAAAATATTATGTTTTTAAATAAAATCCAGTTTGACTTTAACATGGTAAACTTAATTAAGTAAACATTTAAAACTGGAATGATATTTAACATTATTACCTTTTTTATAGAAATAAAGTGTGGAATTCATACTTGTTTGCAGTTTGTTGCTAGATATAGCAAATAGATTGCCAAAAATAAGTTCAGTCATCAAACTAAAATGCAAATATAAGGACTGTTTTCATACAAGATTGCAATGCCAAAGTACTGTAACAAGGGAAAAATAGACATACCTTTGAATTGCTTGTCATTCATGCCCATGACCAGTGGGTGACAGTGTTGTGCCTGCTCCAACCGCAGCAAAGTTAATTGTCTGGTGCAGCCCTCTCTCCAATATCAGCTAAACTGCATGAGGAGTGGGAGTGGACATGGACATTCCATGATGAAGGAATGAATAATAACCGTAAATAAGGCTAAAGGCTAAAATTTGATCAGCCCAACTTTGCGCATCCAACTGCATTAGCTGGGCTGTGAGTAGACAGATAATTGGGACGTGATGGTTGATATCAAATATAGCCTTTTCAACATGTGCCCTGACACCAGATCGGCCCGATTACACACACACACTCTCTTGCGTGCATCACAAACTCGCTGTCCGTTGCCGTGGAGATGATGGAGCAACTCTGATTGCTTTTTCAAATTTATAATTGTGTGTGTTTTGTGTTTGTTTGAGGTTGTATATGCACTGAGTGCATTAATAAACAGTGCACATCCTGCATATGATTAAATGCATAAAGTATATGAGTTATGGATGGGCTTTTAAAATGAAAACATGAATGGCGTTTCAAACACATTAGAATTGCCTATAAAACATGAGTTATTTAACTAATTAAAGTTTCTAACTAATTAAAGCCAAAGTCTACATACATAAATCAGAAAAATATGCAACAAAAATAGTTAAAATCCTTCAGTAATTGAATAATCTTTCAAAGTTGTGTTATAGTTCTACTTACCGGTCCGTTTTTGTGTGTTTGTGTGTGTAGAAGACATCTTTCCTTGTAAAGACTGTGGGATCTGGTACAGAAGTGAGAGAAATCTCCAGGCTCATCTCATGTACTACTGCGCTAGCAGACAGAAGCAGCAGACCGCAGCTTCTCCTCCACAGGACAAGCCGAAAGATTCATACCCCAACGAGAGGCTGTGTCCCTTCCCACAGTGCAACAAAAGCTGTCCCAGTGCCAGCTCTCTGGAGATCCACATGAGAACACACAGCGGTGAGACTTTTTTTCTTCTTCTTAAAATGGCATGCTTGTGTTAATATTATCTGTGCTTAACTGAAGTGGCGCTTATGTCTAATTTGATTGTCTTTTATCTGTATCTCCAGGAGAGCGTCCATTTGTTTGTTTGATTTGCCTGTCAGCTTTCACCACTAAGGCAAATTGTGAGCGGCACTTGAAGGTTCACACAGACTCGCTGAATGGTGTGTGTCACGGCTGTGGCTTCATTTCCACAACACGAGACATCCTGTACAGCCACCTGGTCACCAGTCACATGGTTTGCCAGCCTGGCTCTAACAGTGAGGTGTACTCGCCTAAACTGCCGGTGGCTGCAGGTGAGAGCTGTAAAAACTCTGCACATGACAAAGAAATCCAGTACAAACTTTGACTTAGTATAGACACCCACATGTTTTTAATCATGTAAATTAGTGAAATGTTTAACATATATTTTGTTCATAGTTTGGCAATGACTCAAATAAATGTATATGCTGTATAGATGAGGGATTACTTCAAGTCCTCTCTCTTTCTCCTAAGCTGTATAAGAACTATTCATCAAACCTGATGACCTTTAAAATAGTTTAAACATAAGTGTTCTTGATCATAAGGTTTAGAGTCATCATTCTATATCTGAATGTCTGTCATTTTTTCTACTTTGTGACAGGCTTGAGTCCAGGAGACTCTGGCATTGTTCTGAAATGTCAGGTGTGCGGCTATTCTGCTGACACTCCTGCATTACTTCAGCAGCATGTCCACACACACCTGGAAGTGAGGGTTCCAGCTGAGAGGAGCCCCACACCTCGCCAGAGCAGTCCTCCTTCTTCTGAGCTCCCTGAGCTGCAAGAAACGGAGCCTGCTGCCTGCGTGCCCCGACCTGACTCGTCCAGCCCTGGAGCCAATGGCAGCTCAGCCTCTCAGGGCTACAGTCCCCTCAGCCAACTCAACATCAAAGAGGAGCCACGTTCAGACTATGAAAACGATGCAAAGGAAGAAGAACAAGTGAACAGTCCTCAAGAAAATGCTGCAGAGGCAAGCTCATCTCAGCCTACTTCACCTAAGAGCCCCACCGTGGTTGCAGTGAAAGCAGAGCCGGCCAGTCCCACCCCAGGTTCTAGTCCTGCACATTCTGGAACAGGGGGTTCAGTTCTCCCTGGAGGAGCAGTGTTCTTGCCGCAGTACATGTTTAATTCTGAGGCGGCCATAATGCCCCAGGCATCTGAGATTCTGGCTAAGATGTCTGAGATGGTGCACAGTAGACTTAAACAGGGACAAGGACCAGCAGCTGCACAGCAGAGCTTCTACCCACCAGGCTCTCCTGCCAGCGTTCACAAGGGAGCTACCTGCTTCGAATGTGACATTACCTTCAACAACATTAACAACTTCTATGTCCACAAGAGGCTTTACTGCTCCAGCAGGCATCAACAAGGAGAGACTGGAGGCCTTGTGAAGGAAGGGGCTGTTACTGCAGCTGCTCCTCCTGCTTCCCACGCTGCTTCACCCCAGGCCAGACCAGTCAGCCGTGCAGCTTCAGCCTCTCCTAGCTGCCCTGACCCTGCACCAGGAGGAACGGCCTCGGAACCCAAGGTAGTGGAGGTGAAAATTGAGGATCCAGGGCTGAAAGATGCTACCTGCTCATCGTCCTCAGAGGGAGAGGGACCTGGGGGCGGGCAAGCCAGCGAAGGTAGCCAAAGTCCTAGTGGATCTGCTGAAGACCAAGATGACGACCCCACTCGCACATTTTGCCAGGCATGCAACATTCGCTTCAGCCGTCATGACAACTACATTGTCCACAAGCGATTCTACTGCGCCTCTAGACATGATCCCACCAACCAGCGCCCCCATTCTGGCAAGGCTGCCTTCCTACCCCAACCTATCCGCACACGCAAACGTAAGAAGATGTATGAGATCCACATGGCTCAAACTGAGGCTTTGGCTAATGCCACTACTTTGCCAGCAGGAACTAGTTTGGGGGTTAACCAAGAGGGCTCTTCCGTTGCTCTATTGTCCCAAGTGTCAACTCCTACACGCAGCTCAAGTCCTGAAGGAGAAGGACCCATAGACTTGAGTAAAAGACCCAGACTAAGAGAGAGCCAGAGAAAGGACAGCATTTCTGCATTGCCCCTTTCTGACTACCACAAGTGCACTGCTTGCAGCATTAGCTTCAACAGCATTGAGAACTACTTGGCCCACAAGACCTACTACTGCCCAGCCACTACCCTGCAACCACAAACTATGGAGCAACTAAACCGACTGAAGAGGCCTACCTCCACCTCACCGAAGAACAGAGCCGTGGACCAGCACTCTGATTCCAAAGTGCTTCAAACAGGTAAAACCGCAGCTGTTGCACATGCTGTACCTAGCTCAGAGTCCACCCCTCCACATGTGCAGGGAGCAAAGACCCCCAGCACCTCTCCAGTAGTGTGTCCCTACTGCCCCCCCAACAAACTGCTAACCTGTGATCTGATGGAGCATTTTAAAACGACTCATGGTCTGGTTCTTACACTACAGCAGCATCCTGAGACACAGTCCACTGGAGTCAGTCCCAGTCCCAGCCTTAGCCCACGAGAAGGAGCCCCTCTCACCCCTCCTAAACCAAGCTCCCGCCCCCGTAAGGACAGCCTGAATGGTCGAAGCATCAAGCTGGAAGCAATCTCTCCTTCCCCACCTGTTCTTAATGGAAGTTCACTAGAATCTGTGGGATCTAGGTCTCCAAAAACTGCCCCGCCAGCTCTTTCCCCTAAAGGAGTAACTGTGTCACCTGTGCCTGAAGCTTTAAGAGAGACGGGGCAGCTCAGCCACACCCCATTGCCCAGTGTCCTCCCTGAAAAGGCAGCCCTTGCTATTAGCCACACCATTACAGCTCCACCTAAAACACCACTCGCCTCTCCTTTACAAAATGGGAACACACGCTATTGCCGGCTGTGCAACATCAAATTCAGCAGCCTCTCCACTTTCATTGCACACAAAAAATACTACTGTTCCTCTCACAGTGCCGAACATGTCAAGTGAACCCTCTGCTCAGTCAATTCTGCCATTCCTCTCATGCATAGAAGTGCCAATCACGGCACTGCCCGACCTGATCTGGACAGAGCATGATAGTGGGACTGTTACTAGCCAGATACTGAGGTCTTCATGCCGACCATGCTATCTGGTGTTGTTACGATGGTAACTTATTACACGTTATGGGTCAAGTTTGTATTACACTAAGAGATGAGACTACCTGCACACATATTGTGCCCCGCTGACCTATTCCCACAGTTTAGAATCTGCTGATGGAAGGTAACATTTTGCCCTTTAATTAGCTGTTTTAATCACTCCTGTGTTTCATGTTCATTTTAATTAATGATGGCAATGTATATTGGTAAAAATTGTTTGTCTGAGCCATTTTTGGTTTCTTTTGTTTGAATTCGCTGGGGCCAATTCTGACCCCTAGTGGATGTCTCGCTATCGAACCTGGTCTGCAGATTTTTGTCAGTACACTGTTTAGATATAAGAAGAGTAAATAAAAGAACCTGATTAAAATGAATTACATCAGGTTACCAGCTGAATATGAAAGGTTTTGATTGATACTAAAATGTGAAGAAACTATTTATGTTTTCAGTCCTTATCCATTTCACGTGAGTTAAGTTCTACCTAGTTTTGTTTTCATACTGTCAAAAGGAATTTCAATCTTTAGTGTGATGTATTTTCTTGGTTCTTTCATATGAAAATGTGTCATATTCGACTTTTGTGTTGATCATTGGGACTTGAGAAGTAATTCTGTAAGTGTTGGTCTGGTAAGGGAGAAGACGGCACACAAATGTACTGTCTCAGTATTTGGTCATGGATGGATGTGCATTGCGGGTCTAAGGACTGTCACAGGCTTTAAGAGTTTGGATTTCAGACAGTGTTCAATGCTTGTTGTGTTTCTAGTCACCAGCTCACCTTTGTCTCTGCCTCTACCACAAAACCCTGCACTGATTCAAATCCAAAACCCCTTTTAACCTGCAGAAGAAGTGCCATCTGTACTCTAGACAAACTATCACGGACATGCAGTGAACGGCATGTATGTTTGGTCTTTTTTTTTCTTTTTAACCTTGAAATGAAGTATAGCATAGAAAAGATTCATATCAATGTCTTGCACACTGTTGAATAACGTTGAAGGCCACTGAAAGCAAGAGAATTGGAAACTGACTCATTGCTCGTATCGCTTATTTCTTAAACTGGGAAGCCAGTGTCGCTTTTGTCCTTCTCTCGTTTGCTCTGTCAATTATTTGCATTCTCGATGATGACTCAGTGATGATTTGTGCTCCTCTACATGTGCGTTGTATGTTGAAAAGAACAGCGTCATGCAATCTATCCTCCTTTGCAGGCTACTCTTTGCAAAGCCTTAACAAAGACTCTCGTCAATATGTCTGAAACAACGGGTCAGTTACGTCCACAATGCTCATCACTGTCCCCCCACTAAGTGGACTTTGTGTATGTTACCAGTGGTGTTTCCCCCTTTCCTGTGTTACAAAAAAGCAACCTCAGTCGTTTCCGCGGTAAGAACAGGAACACGAAAACCGCTTGCAAATGAGAACAGTTTAAATTTCTCTCTGCTGTTGTGGGTTTGCAACGGTGCTGCACCAACTCACACAGAGGCGTTTACAGTTCCATTGTTTTATCATTTAGCGACTGTCGCAAGTCCAAAAGACCAGTGCTGAAAACCTTTCCGGATCCCTTTTCTATTGCACTGTGTTGTACAAAAAATGCTGAATGTTTTAGTTTTAGGAGCTTTTTTTGTATGTATTTATGTTTTTACAGCACTTTTCCTTGTCCAAACCTATCCCCGAAGGACTTACTCGTGAATTTAGAACATTCTAACACAAGTGAAAGATAATTCAAATACTTTGTGAATAATTAAAAATGTTGATGGAAAAAAGTAATGAATGTCAACCTTTTTCTTTGGGTTTGTTTTTTTGTTTTTGTTTTCAGCTACAAAAAGTTCCACTACACACTTGTCCAAACTATGCATGGGAAATAAAGAGTCCAGAAGGACATTCAAAGTGCAGGAGAACTTGTCGTACTTTCCTCTCTTTAAGCAGTGTGTAGACTCTGATGCAACACAATGCATAATGACGAGATTTATTCATTCTTCCATTTGGCTTAAAAGTATGAATCCATGTTCTTATTGGCATGTTTTGCTTCTATGTGTGTGAGAACAGTCATTAAAGACAATTACGCTGTTGATGCACTAATCCTCATGTCAATCAAACACTGTATGATTTTATGATGAGTTAAACACTGAAGAAAATATTTCTTTTGAAAAACATCCAGACTTCTTTTCTAACATGCAACTGCTATTTTTACTGGCAAGCTCCACAGAAGAAGAAAAAAGAACTATATACTTTATACTCTAAACTTTAGACTATACCTACACTTTAAAATGTACCTTCATACAACATATCTAAGAATAGACAGAAATCTGAGCCATACTTAACTCCCATCTTATCTTGTTATATCTTTTCAGTTGGGTACAGGAATGACTTTTTTTATTGTACTATGAGTTAAACAAAGATTGTAAAGATTGATTGCCGGTATCTGTTTAATAAATACTTGTACCTAAAAAGGGTTGTTTAAAAAAAGAAACAAATATCAGGGTCAAACGATCACTGTAACAATGGCTTAAATATATTAATAATAGATCATATGTAAAAACGACCGTGGCATGGTGGCTCAGTGGTTAGCACTGTCGCCTCAAAGCAAGAAGGTCACTGGTTCGAGTCCTGGCTGGGCCAGTTGGCATTTCTTTGTAGAGTTTGTTCTCGTGTTCAGGTGGGTTTCCTCCGGGTGCTCCGGTTTCTCCCACAGTCCAAACACATGTGGTAAAGGTCAATTGAATAAACAAAATTGTCTGTAGTGTGTGTTGCGGTTGGAAGAGCATCCGCTGCGTGAAACATATGCTGGAATAGTTGGCGGTTCATTCAGCTGTGGTGTCCTTTGAAATAGAGATTAAGCTGAAGGAAAATGACTGAATCAAACTTTTTACTGTTTAATATAGAAGATTATTTAAATTAATCGGATTATTAAATAGTATCTAATCATATGTACTTGTACCTAGTAGTAAAAAAGTTCTAATATCTAATGAATAACTACAGGGGAATACAAAATATTTAATGGTCACGACTGGAATACTACAGTAGTAAAAAAAAAAAAACTGTTGACATCTAAACTTCCAGAATCTGTCAAAATCGAGAAATTTGTCACTAGTAACAATAGAATAGTTTGAGCCCAGTAAACACCTTTACACACTCCAATTCATACACTACGGATGATTAGGTTTATCCAATTCACCTCTATCACCTCTTTGGACTGTGGTGGAAACCACAGCATTCAGAGGAAGCCCACGCAGACAGTGAAAAAACATGTACTGTACTCAAAAAATGATGTTTGCTGTTTGTACATTTTAAACTTATTTAAAATGAGTTTTTTAGACAACTTAATTGTTTTATGTACAATCCATTTAAATTTGTAAAAATCTTAACTTAATTCCTTCATGTTGTCCCAACACAAATCGATTGTGTGGAACCCAGCATCTTTTACAGTGTGCAAACTCTGTACAGAAAGGCCTCCTGGTCCAGCCAGGACTCAGCTCAGAAACCTTCTTGCTGTCAGGATGAGGCAATCATAACCACTTAGACACTGTGTCGCCCTCTGAATAAATACACTAACTGACAAAAGTCTTTTCGTTGATCCAAGCTGTAAGAGCAACAAATAATACAGTAACTTGACTTCTAATTGATCGTTTGGAAAAGTGGCAGCAAGTACATCTGTTGAGCTGCATCCAAATTATTACAGATACTGCAGAAGACCTATTGGAACCCACATGGACCCAAGATTCTCACAGAAATCAGTCAAGTTTAGTGGAGAAAAAAATCATGATTTGGGGTTATATTTAGTATGGGGATGTGTGAGAGAACTGCAGAGTGGATGGCAACATCAACAGCCTGAGGTATCAGGACATTTGTGCTTCTCATTACATTACAAACCACAGAGGAAGGCAAATTCCTCAGCTGGATAGCGCTCCCCATACTTTAGCCTCCATATCAAAGTTCCTGAAAGCAAAGAAGGCCAAGGTGCTCTAGGATTGGCCAGCGCAGACATCAGATATGAACATTATTGAAGAAGGAGGAACTGAAAATGAATCCAAAGAATCTTGATGAACTCGGAGTCCTGCAAGAACACTTTCTTTGCCATTCCAGATGACTTTATTAACAAGTTATTTGAGTCATTGCAGAGATGTATGGATGCAGTCCTCCAAGTTCATGGGAGTCATACACAAAATTGATTCTTTTTACCACTGCACCATGACTTATGACTTCAACATATTTTATTTTGGTAAAATAAGTTTGATCTGAGGCCTTTGCTTTTCATATAAGCCACTTCTGATGCCAAATGATCAACTAGAAGTCAAGTCATTATTTGCTGTTCCTAAAACTTGGATAGGTGACAAGACTTGTCAGGTAGTGTACTAGTTCTCAATATTAGTTTTAATAAGTATCTAATGAATAAAATGTTCTTGTATCTAAAAAATAAAAGCTAGTATTGATTGATTAAGTATTATGTTTATTAAAGTACTACTACCTAAAGAATAAGCACTAGTATGCAATGAATAGTGCTCAATGATAAAGAAACTAGTCTATAAGTATGTTTTATGTATTAAGTATTAAAACAACTTGCTGTAAAGGTGTCTATAGAACATGTTTTGAAGCATTGTGCCTCAACAGACGTGTCTGTAACAGGCAATCAGATATGTTGGTGAGACTCTTTGGGCCCTATCATACTGTACACCCGGCGCAAGGCGCGATGCAATTGTTGTTTGCTAGTTTCAGCACTGCGCAAGAGTCGTTTTGTTCAAATAGCAAATGTATTTGCGCTCATATGTGTGCCCGTAGGCGTTCTGGTCTAAAAAAGGAGGCGTGTTAAGGTGCATTGCTGGCGCATTGCTATTTTGAGGGACTAAAATACAGATCAATAGACCAGCAGAGAACCTACATAAATATAAAAACCACCGCGCCATGCCTTCTTCATCTCAGGGGGCTTTTTCAGTTTATTCATGACAATTTGCTTTTTTATTATGATACTGTTAGTAGCAGTATTATTTATTATATCCATATTTATATTTGTTTTATTTAAAACAAGCTTAGATATGTCCATTTGTTTGGACCATATGGGGCATAGCATGTGATTAGAAATAGCTAGTTTACTGGAAATTAGAACTGAATTTAGAAACAGTTCTGAA